TTAATATGACGATTATCCACCCTTCCCTACCCTCCCATGGGATGATAATTGTTTTACCTTTGCCTTGGTTGCCAAGGTGTTGCACACCCCAAMAATTATCCACCCTCCCCTCCCCTAGGATGATAATTGTCCTACTTTTGCTTCACAGGTCGCTAAGGAAATTATACATTTCTTTATATTTWTTGAWCAARCTATCTGCTAGTTTCACACTCAGTRTGAAAATASAAAATAGATGAAAAGAACTTTAACCAGTCATTATTAGACCCGGACAGTTTTCGTAAACTAATGAGCACATGCAGATCCTATAGACTTTAATGGTGACTATTCTTCAGTAAGTAATTAAAATGAAGTTAACAATCCAAAATTTGATTGATTGATTGATTTAGGACCATACTTCCAGACATCGAGTGCTGAACCGTCGTATGGCAGCGCGAAGCATTTACGGCTACGCCGGAGATTTCGACCCCGTCACCGCTATCCGAGGACTTACAGACTGATCAGGAAGCTCTCGGCCGAAACCTAAGGGAGAGGTTAGTCGGTCCCTAGACCATAGATGATTAACCCCTTGCTATGACCAGCAGACCCAATAGAACTATTTTCTCGTTGATGTCTTACGATCCGTTCACTCTTCTTTTCATGTGGGACGCGTTTTGAAAAACCCTCCCCTTCCCTCCCCTAAGATAATAATTGTCCTACCTTCGCTTTACAGGTTGCCAAGGTGATTTTAGCCTGTGCCATATCTGTGACGAAAGAAAAACACAAAGTCATAATCAGTAGGGTCTTACTTATGRCTGTATAAACTACTCACTCTTTCCGCTCATGCGTCGTTTTCAACARACCTCTTTAGCTTCTCATGCAGATTGCCCATCTCAGATCACATGACATTCCCATGAGAATTGTTCTCTTATGAAGAACATGTTAAAATATTTACACATGAAAGAATCAACTCCCAAGAGTGGCATGCATCACATGGTCTGAAATGTGCACAACAAACAACGAAGCTAAAGAGGCCTATTGACAAGACGTCTTAGGCCACAGGGATCCCAACACAAAGGCAGTATATTCTTTCATACTCACTCTCGCGAATTTCCTTAAAAGAGGACTGGGAACCAGCCAGGACGATGTAGGGGTCTGGTAAGGTGTATTCTGCCCCAGGYCCTTTGATTTCACGAATCTTACAATACATCTGTACAATATACTGCAGGAGATTCATCATGTTATCCTAGAAAGATACGAGCATATCAATGTAGTTTTTTAATTATATATTAAACTGGGTACCTGGGTAAGGGGCATGGAACTCAAGGGTGACATGGGAGAGGCACCCCCCTCTTACCTCTGGGGTTTTGTGTTCGGTTTTTGGACCCAGTCCATCACGGATTTGAGGGTTGAGTTTCCCCGGGTTCTCCGGTTTTCCTCCCTTCGTAAACCCAAACACGCTAATTCCAATTATATCTGGGAGTTCAACCTGCGCCCTGGCTTAGATCAGCCCAGAGGGTGTTTCAGGGTATCGATCTGTGAGTTAGTCATGCCCTGACTTAGGTCAGATACAGTAACAGTTTTTTGTAGGGTGGCGGACTGGTGGTGGGGGACGTTCCTACCCAGTCTTTCTCCTTTACGTACCTGTGTTTTGATGTCTTTGAGCTTCATCAAGGCATTGATTTGAAAGCCGTCCGCTTGACCACGTGCTGTGCTTCCATTCATGTAGTTCCCGAGAGCCAACACGAGGGACAACACAAAATGAATTTCTTTACTGAAAAAGAAAGAGAGAGAAAAAAAGATTCATTCAACTTAGTTTTTAGCAATGCATAGACCTTGCACTCAGTCCCGAGAGGATTTGTTCTGGGGACAGAACAATGCATTTTTTGCATATGAAAAGAGGGTCCATTGTTTCGTCCCCAGAACAATTCCTCTAGAGAATCAATGCATGGGGGCTATTCAGAATCAGTAAATTGTTTTATGATTGACTTACTCTGTGCGAATATGTGCATTTGCTTCTCCTATCGCTCCTAGTCTGCGATCTRAAACAAATAAATAAGATGTTCWGTTAATTAGGAGTTCACTTCGTAGWCCTCACAGACTTTAGTTTGGACACACGATCTGAAGTCTAGGGGAGCACAGGTAGCCCGAGTAACTCAAATTGAGAATATCAAACGGCAAAGTTTATAATGGGTTGTAAAGCAACGTGGATTTTTAACGTACCAACATCATGGATTGTCTCGGTGAAGCGGTCTTTGTACAGCCAGCATTCTAGACGTTCAGAGAAGTGGTCCATCTTSTGTAATCTCATTAGGAACTCCTCGGGTTTGTCCAGTGTCGCTTGATAAAAATGAAGAATAAAAATTGTAAAATAAGACATTGCTTAACGTCTCAATAATGAAAAGTTACCAAAGAAATAGAAAATGCGCGCACGTGCTGTGTGGAATTATAAAGCACGCGGGGGTTGGTAAAACACGACAGTTAAAAGTTAAGAGATGAAGCKAGTGAGGTATCCTCCWACGCAGTCGTTCTTARKGKCYGKCACGYAACGTTTCAGGGAAACGTTRCGTGACAGGAGTTTGGGCTGCCTGTTTATATGGTTTTTGTTTCTATTTTTGTGAAGCATTAATCGAGAAGAGGGTTGCACTACCTTCAGGGTGGTCCTGTACTTCTTTAGATATRACCTCGATTTCGTCTGGTTTTGGTCTGATGTGATAAAGTGCTTTGAGTCTGGAAAATAACAATACAGTTGCGTGACCGTGACGGYAACGTGTTCCAACAYTTTGWCAGTAAWACTKTGCGCYACAAATKTTTCAAAGAATCACCGTGCCGCGTGGTTTTCAAGTTCATACAGAGATTGGGGAGAACCTAAATAGCACTCAAAACGTTGATGTAATGTCTTCAAAAAATTGATTGTCGGTTGTATTAAGTGCGATTCATTGTATTTTCATGAATACATTAAATACATCAACTGCTTGCTACGTARGCTCTCCCATACAGATTGTGCCCTAGAATAATAGCAGGGGAGGGGTAGGGATGTAATGCTTACCCGTCCATATCAATGGTATTAGTGTCCATTTTATATATAGCCTCCTTGACGTCATCTAATTGACAGCTGAGGCTGGTCATGATGATGCCAATCATCTGTGATCTACTRTTATCYAGAACCTTSATCACCTGAACATGTGACACAAAACAGTYACAATTTTAAAGTCAGCAGTGTCTTCAGCAAGTGGATATGTCCCAGGAAACCCACTCGAAGCCTTTTAACCACTCAATTAATTTATCAAGTGCTACGCGGTCCACATATTCTCATCGTTGCATCATAATTACCGCGACTTAACATCTATTTCACCCCGGCATGCTCTCAGTCTGACCTCCAGCTCAGCTGGTAGAGCATCGGTAGTACAATTCCGAAGGTCGTGGGTTCGATTCCCAGGGTCTTTCGCCCGGAATAACCTCGTTCCTAAGCACTATAATTTATCTATATTTCTATATCTTCATCAGTTAAGTGTTCCGTTCAAGAATAAAATCACAAGAATGAGAAAGAAGCTGCTGGCAACGCGCTTATCATCTTAGCTTATTAACCAGCGACGAAAGGAATCGGTGTTATATTCCCCGCGATCTTGTTGCATCTTTTGTTTTAAGTATTCGTAAATCGGAGCACTGATGGAGAAAGAGGGTGAAGGGTGCATCTTCTGCTTCCTGTGTTAATCTATATTTCTCACACCTGTTTTCCAGCAGGACGATCAAAAATCAAGTCTTCATGCAGGGATTTTCGCTTGTTTGCCCGTTTTCTTTTGTTGATTTTTCTTCCAAACAACCTGAGAAGTGAATGTGAATGAAAAAATGAATGAAAGAAATAGTTAACATTGGGCATGAGCATCAACTTTTTACCGTTCAATCCCCCCCCGGTCGTTCAATCACACAGCACGTTGAAAATATTTTAGTTAGCGCATGCGCATCAAACTTTCATCAGGGCGATACTATTCCAGGTCGCGCATGCGCATCACACTTTTATCCGCACATGCGCAGCATAATATTACCCTAGTCAGTACAATACTAGACAACACCCATTCTTACTTTTGAAATTCTTTGATGTCAAACTCTGCCTCCTTCATGTTTCCCCAGATGGTGTTTCTACTCTTTGTTGCACCATCAGAACACTGGTCGTCTGCTGTATCGTCAGTCAGTAGGATTCTCTGCCAGAACAGCGGTCTCATCTCGACTCCTGGCTTTATAACGCCCTTCCTTGGTCGAATTATTCTTGACCCAGRGGGTGGAGGTGCACCACCTGGAGGGGGAGGAGGTGGGGGTGCACCACCCGGAAAAGGGGGAGGGGGTGGGGGTGGACAAGGCGGAGGGGGAGGGGGTGGTGCTGCTGGTTCTATCGATTGTCCTTCAGACATTAATGAATTCATCATCTTCATTTCTTCCAATTCTTCCTTCAGTTTGTTAATCGTCGTCTTGTACATCCCAACCACACTTTCGTGTTCAGTTTTCAGGTTTTCTAGTTCTTGTCTTAGTTTGTCTACATCTGCGCGCGAGGAATCCCYTGCTCTATCCAAGTTGAACGGCATAGTTGGATGGTACACGGCTTGTGGTTCGACTCGATCTTCTGCAACATTCATTTCCGGTTCCGGTTCAGGATTAAGGTCGTTTGTCTGTAGTTTTTCTCTCCATACTTTTGACCGTGGTTTCTGATTACCACTATTAACCGCTGTAGCACTCACAACATTTTCCTTTTCTAAACCATCATGTAGTTTCTGTTCTTGCTGCTCTACGGTCTTCTCATCTCTCTCTTGTTTCTCTGCCTCCACCGTCACGCAATCATTACTCGTTACATTATTACTTACAGTCTTACTTTTGATCACATTATTTTGAGGTCCTTTCGTRTGAGTATCGCCACGTTGAACATGACTTTGACCTGGTCTCTGCCCGGCAATCGTCTTCATATCCCCTTGTCTAATATGTTTCTGACTGTCTTGTCCAACAGATTGTACATTCGTGATCATTCCACCGCGTTGATTATTATTTTGACCCGATCTCTGCCCAACGTTGGATGCTATATTTTCTGATATCTTGTGGTTTTGAATCTCCTGTCCAATTTGACTKGTCGTCTGGTTTTCGTTCGTCTTTCCCTTGTCTCTCCAATATACAGGCTTGTCGCGTCTGGTAGGGTTGTTTGGATTACTATTCCCAGGAGAGCTGAGAATGATGTGACCGGTTGATGTTTTCCTTGTCAGTGATTTAGGYGTGTCGGCAATRGGATGTGTTCTTGGCGAAGTTCCCTCTGTATTTTGCTGTCCAACTTTCTTGCTTGAGACCACAATTGGTGACCTAACMGAGGAAGCGCTTGTCGCTCTTGCCTCAGTGACTCTGTGAGKTTTCTCGCGTTCTAGAGATTTCTTGCGGTCMGCAAAGCAAATATTRYTTTCGGCATTTCCGTTGGWAACKTGTGYTCTATTCTGGGAGCCCTGAGGAGTGAACACAGCCGTTGACTGCACCTTTCGCGTAGGGCTCACTGGGCCGCTTTTATGAGTTGGTGACGTTGGGCCATTGTGATTGGTTGCCTCAATTTTCGCGCCAATTCCATCCCTTGTTCCCCGATTGGTTCTCGAGCTGCCTTCAAAAACAGCCTTCCCACTAAAAGACGATTGTGGAGGGCTCTTTTCTTCTTCTTTTCTTTCATTCTTTGCTTTTTGAAGTCTGTTTTGATCAGYTTGTATCAGGTCAGCTAGTGCCTTAGACCCACCACCAGCACGGCTTACAGACTTTAGCTTCGGTGTTAACCATGCTGGCTTGTCAGACTGTTTGCTATCGTTAGCTGGTAAGTGCGAAAACTTTTTAGGCTTAGGAAAATAGAAAGAAAGAAAGATAGCATTAAAAATAGATTTTGAGAGGTCAAGAGGCAATGATGACGTCTAAATGAACAGCTGGCGAACCTTAAGGTTGGAAGGTAATTTAGATCGAGTTTCAAATGGAGGTTGACTAGTTGACGTATCCACTATTTAACTAGATCAAACGTTTAATTTCTTTTAGAAAACCCCAAAAATCTCCCTTTAGATTTCACTTTAATTGAGATTATTATTTTGTTTTCAAAGAAAATTCTCATGAACTTATCATGGTTTTTCTTGTTGGGACACGTTTTTTCTTAATCCTCTTTTCTTGTTTCAATTGTTTTTGTTCGTTTGTCTCTAGAACGTTCTTGGGATAATATTTGGATGGATTTCCGGCTTTCATCACAGCAAGACAAGTTTATTAATTGAATAATCTTTTCTTACTAATAGAACAGACTAGACCCATACGTTGCACCATGCTTAGCGACATGGACTGCGCATGCTCATCTGTTGTATGCAAATGATCTTACGAAGGTTAAGTTTTTGTATCGTAACCAGTGCTTCTCGGTCACAGGTTTCCGAGGGCACTGTAGCTATCAAGCTGGTTGATACTTCTATTTTATAAGAATATAAAAATCTACTGCCAAAACTTGCCTTAAAAATTACGTTATCTTAGACTGACCGCCATGCAGAACGTGGTGCATTATGGTCTCGTTTGGGGCAATGATTATTTTATTTAGCCCTATGTGTGAAGACATTTTACTACCA